AGTTATGAAAAGTAATGTTTGTACTTCCAGTGACCGTGTAGATTGTGACTTTGTGTTTGCTTCCGATCTCACTGCTGAAGCTTCACCCATTGCTACCACTGCTAGTAAGCTAGTAAGCCCGTTAATGAATGACTGCATGTTGCTTCCCTTCCCATTATTATTGTAAGTACTCGCCCAGCAGAAGCCGCGTGGAATTTCTCGGTCTCGATAGGTACGGCCGGATTTGATATCTTCTGTGTAGAGCGCTGGTCTAATTTTCTCACAAACGTGTCACATTGCGTAAAACTTTCTTGAAATATTAGTCACAACAGGGAACGGACGTTTTTCAAACTGGGCCCTGAACGTAATCTGCACACTGAAAGTAAGCACATTCTTTCTCACACTTACCTGATTTCGAAAATAGCGAGTCTTAACTCTCACCGATCAGCAGCGCAAGAACTAAAAAAGAGTTGAAGACACACTCCTTTGTTTTCACCTATAGGGACTAAGTTTCTATAGAGTAGCAGTCAGTGTTCATCAGGTTCATTTGAAAGATCAGGGCAGATCTGGCCGGTCACCGTCGACGGCTTCATAAAGACTGAGTCCTTCACAATTCCTGACAAGTTTGCGTGAACCTGATCTTAGCCTAGCAATCAGCTAGAATATGGTCAATATGGAATTTGTTTTTCAAGACCGAAACATCATTATAATGCTGACTGTGACGAGGCTGTTCCGATTCTGAAGGTTTTGGATTTGAAATTTGGTCCCACTTTACTATTGGAGAACTACCGCACCCTCGACCTCTACCGATGCAAAAGGTTAGTCATCAATCTTCGAGATTGCAGCAGTGTGTAGCAATCTTTTGACGGTTTAGTTGAAGAGAACTTCGTGAATGCACTGGGTCGACTGCATTTGGCTTGTCGTGAAGATCTACGGATAGCCGTTATCGATTGTGCTAGCCATTGGGCAGCTTATGTTGTCGAGATGGTTTGTAACTGGCGAACACCAGAGTGCTTTGAAGGAGATAACGAAGATTTAGATGCAACAGCAGTGAGCGGATCATCATGTTAGACGCTCACACCCAGTCATATCTACCGAAAGTCATGGCTGAATTCTATCGGATTTATAATCCCCGGATGTCTGGCCCTGTGGTCCAGTTATCATTTGTTAGGCACGGAGCAGTTGATCGAGGAATTAAAGTTCCGTTATGGAGGCTTATACCCTTCAGATGTTCCCAAAATCCGTTCATTATTCAATATAAAATTCATACACGCTTGCGTTTCGTTAGGTTCAATACCGGAATTCCCAATTGAAAATGTCAGAAAGTAGGAAGTAGTAGTAGTAGATTCTATTATTTTACTAGGCGAGTCCCAACAGGCGTTGCCTTTTAACTGGGAACCCAAGGTCTTTTATGTCGTAGCTTTTTTGGTGGGAGGGCGAAATGAATGGAGGAACGATTTCACGATTTATACTTCTGGCTGAGAGCGATGCACAAGAACAGTGGTTTCTGCACGCATATTTTGCCTTAATATTCTAGCTGATTTTTAATTCTTTATGCCACGCTATGTGTTCCATAGGATTAACCTTTTGTGCGATTGGTGCCGTGCTCATGCGAATGATAGCGGAGTATCGATTGCTTCAGATTGTACTCCTGCATTGGATTCGAAATCACGTGACGAACTTCCAAAATCTCTGTTTGCAAACGATGTAACAACACTTCTTTCCCCAACATAATGAACGCAGCTTTTTGGAGAAATAAAACCGAGCTTTCATCTAACATGTTTGATTTGCTTTTGTTCTTTATGCAGTAGAATAATTATTCTTATGAATCTCTTCCTTTTGAAATTATCTCCCATTGTGTTTTACACCTTATGAGAATCGTTGCAGTTTCTGATATCTGGCAGATAAATATGCGTACACAGGACTATCGTATCCCAAAATATCGATTGTCCTTAACAGGAAAAATCCTCATTATGCTGTGATGCAACTGCATTCACGCCCAACCTCACCACACACTGTCGTTTCATATTCAGTTTGGATTCTGTTGATATTGTTGTACCTCCCGTAACACAGTAGCCTGTGGCTTTTTGTTTGCCTGATCTTTCACTATTGGAGCTCGTGACGACTAGCACCACTCCTACACTGCATGGGTCTGAATATCTTCCGTCACTGCAATCACTACACAATTATTCAATAGAGGGTTTGCGTTAAAGATGTGTTAGGTGTGAATGCAGTGACTGAAGATATTCAGCAGAATGCAGTGTAGGAGGGACGCTAGTCGTCAAGACCTCCAAAAGTGAATTATAAGACAAACAGAAGTCAAAGGCTACTGTGTCTGGGATGACACTGTAACCAGGAAAGCAGACAGGTTAAAAGTCGGACAAGACAAAACTAAGAGTAACAACATAGCACAATCGCAGTATTGCCTGATACTAGGGCTGCCAGGAGAAATAAACACATATGTACAATTGTGCTCACTCAGATCCGACAGTTGGAGAAAACCTATATACAATGTATCGTTATGCCGAGATGCAACTGATGCGCATCCACGCTGAACTTCATCATGCACTGTAGAGTTATATGCATTATGGAGACTGTAGGTATTGTTGCACTTCCAGTGACAGTGTAGCCTGTGACTTAGTGTTTGCCTTAGAGCTCACTTATACAATTCCGAAGCACTAGTACTAATGTTGCCGTGCATTCCTCTTGAATGCCTTCATTCATTGCATACACTATGTGCATTATCAATACATGGGTTGCTTTTTCTTTGTACAGGGCGTGATGGCATCGACTTCAGGTTAGAGCTGAAACGATAGCCAGGCAAGTGTCGTGGACAATTTGAAAGTCTGACAAGATGAACTATTAGAATAGAAACATGGGACAAATCCAGTATGGCCTGACAAATGAGCTGCCAGGATAGATACAGACATTATGACAGTTGCACTCACTGAAACCGGACATGGCAATAGAAACTGGAGCCATGGACTACTCTCGACTACGACCCTGTTCTTTTACATGTGCAAATCTATCAGCACTGGTATCATTTCCAAGGAGTCAGGGTGGGCCTCAACTGGAGTACGGACTTGGTGCTTTCTTGCAGGTTTGCGGAGTTTACGGTTTGATGAACGCCTCGTGTGCTCTGGATGGCAGTCGTGAGTCAGTCAGGAAAAACGCGAGCTCCCACTTAGAGAGCAACACACAATTCCCCAAGCATCGCTGAAGGCGCACGGACCTCTTCTTAACATCCCTGTTCTTGCGCACGATTAGGTCCAGCCTCACTCGTACCACTTCCAGGGAGACAATATCCAAGGATGTTAAAGACGACAAATACATGTATGCACTTAAGGGGCAGGCTTCACCGATCGCAACTCTGCATGTATATGATTTGATTGTACTTCAATGCTTGTTGGCAACGAGCTAACACGTGTAACGGATACAGACTGGTCTAACAGAGACTACCACAAATGGATTTTTCATTGTGAGCAGATTTGTCAAATGCAATTTTCTTAAAAAAAGGTCTATGTGTTTCGTCTTTAATAGTGGTTAGGGAGTCGCCAGCTACAGGCGAGGGTCCCTGGCTCGAGGACTGGTGGTGACCATCTGTCGTGCAGGTTCTCACACGCAACGGGAAAACTTCGGTGTAGTAAAATAGATTTGGCAAACAACAAAGGACAACCCTTTCTCTTCGAAGAACCGAACTTGCCGAGCCTCCATAGACAAAAAACCCTGAAACAGCCCTACACTACACTAGTACGGGAATTCAGCGCAGAGCAAAAAATAATCATGAGTCATTATACAATGCATGCAGTGTAGCCGTGAAAACTGGTGAATAAAGAATGCAGTAGGTTGGCAGCACGTGACCCGTCGTACCGCAGTACGCGACGGCGTCGCGGCTTAGAAAATGAAAGGAAACACTGCGAGAAAAGACAAAACGAAAATACATGTCCCTTTGTCAAAACTTAGAAGAAACAAACAAAATGCGACCAAGAATCACTTTGAGAGTCAACGTCAATACTCTTGTGCAGTTGTGCAAATTCTTGTCTTCCACTGTGCAACGCAAGAAACAAACACACCTACGAAATAACTCGTGAACTAACTGTAGGCTAAATCACTACATGTACGCGAAATTGCGTTCCAAAATAAACTGAATTTCTGAGACATTTCATATTTCACATCCTGAGAGAAATATTGAATAGTAAATACTTCATAAAAAACACATGGCCACGACGGCCTTCCCAACATACCCCCCTCCTTGATACATCCATATCAAAGAATGAGTAAAATGAGAAAAGAGATCGAACTGACTAAAGATGGCGATAAGTCCATCTAAAACGTGCGTACGGACTGTCAGCCTTTCACAACCGGACATAGCCGTACAACTGACCTGGTTACCTGCTTGCCTCCGACCTGGAGCTTAGCGACACGCACTCTGCCGTCAGAACCAGGGTAGACCTCCAACACCCGTCCAAGAGGCCACCTGCCACGGGGGTATCAGCTGACACAACGAGGACGATGTCACCGACACTGAGATCCGGGTACTCTTTCCACCACTTGGAGCGACGATTCAGGGCTGGTATCCACTCCTGCATCCACCTTCGCCAGACATGGGATACAAGCATTTGGACGTGTTGCCAGCGGCGCCGAAGACACGGTGACTCGACGGCAAGATGATAGTGCTCAATGCGTCCAACCAGGAAGTGATTCGGTGTGAGTGGCAAGTCGTCGCGGCTGTCACTAGAGGGAGGAACAATTGGACGAGAGTTGAGTAGCGCCTCTGCGCTGCAGAATGCTGTTCGCAGCTCCTCATCGGTGATTGATGCCTGCTGTAGAACATGGTAAATAGCCTTCTTTGCTGCTTTTACCATACTTTCGTGAACGCCTCCAAAGTGTGGTGTCTGGGCAGGGATGAAATGCCACTTGATCCTCTTCATGGTAGCGCTGTGCTCCAGGACGTGTTGCTCCTGCTCGGTGAAAATCTCCGATAGCTCACGATTAGCCCCGACGAAGTTCGTACCATTGTCCTAGAGCACTTCAGCAGGAACACCACGGCGGTTGCACATTCGTTGAAAGGCGTTCAGAAAGCTGTCGGTATCCAAACCTGTGGCCATTTCCAGATGCACAGCACGACAAAGACAGCAGGTGAAGACGCACAAGTACCGCTTAGCTCGTCGTTGCCCTCGACCCTGTACTGTTGCGAATGGTCCAGCAAAGTCTACGGCCACGCGACTGAAAGCGTGGAGAGGCTCCTTCAACCGGATCTTGGGCAATGGTGCCATGATCTGCGTGGCTGGTTGTGCTTTACGAAATTGACATTTCACACAGGAACGTTCGTACTCCCGGATGGCTTCTCGAATCGCCACGATCCAATGTTTCCTCATGAGGACTGCCATAGTGTGAGCTGTACCTGCGACGTGATGGTCTGCCTCATGCTGGTCTCTGATCACTAGCTGTGTTATCCAGCAAGACCGCGGCAAGATGATCGGGTGCTTGGCGTCTTGACTGAGATACTGTGCCTCTTGGAGCCGTCCTGTCATTCTCATCACACCAACTTCATCCAAGAACGGGGTCAGGCTGCTCAGTGGACTGGTTGCCGGTAATGGTTTGCCCTTCTGCAGTGACGAATATTCAGCAAAGGCGTCCTTCTGGCTTGACCGAATAACGGCCTGGAGAGTGTCTTCGACTTCCTCGACCGTCAGCTGACCATACTGTCTCTGCGTGGCTGGGATTCGGCAGTTTGAGGAAAAGCGCAGCACCCACGCCGTCAAGCGGACCAGCCGCTGAAGCGAAGAGAATCATTCAGGCGCCAGAACCCACTCACTCGTCGAGAGGAAAGACACACATGTCACTTGGTGGTGTTGCTGACCTTCTTCGGGTGGTTTGGCTTTCGTGCGGACCTCTGGTGCAGCTGGAACGTTGAATCCCTCGGGCTGCTGTGGCCGTTCTTCGATGCTCTGAACGAGATATGACGGACCGTTCCACCACAGCACATTCATCGCGATAGTAGCGCTTGATGTTCCTCGTGACAGGATGTCAGCTGGATTCACCGCCGTCGGAACGTAGAACCACTGACTAGGCGAGGAAGAAGCCTGGATCTCACCGACGCGGTTGGCCACGAATGGCTTGAAGACCCGGCTGCTGTTCCTTATCCACCACAGGACATCCATGCTGTCACTCCAGAACACGACATTCTCCATTGCGATGGCGAGTGTCTTGGCTACGGACACACCAAGACGACATCCGATGACTGCTCCCATTAGCTCGAGTCGGGGGATGCTAACAGCTGATAACGGTGCCACTTTGGCTCGAGCCATGACGAATCGACTGGACCTCGTACCATCCTGGTACACATGACAGAGATAAGCGACTGCTCCATATGCATCTTGCGAGGCATCGCAGAATACATGTAGCTGAGTCTCCACCACCTCCTCATCGCGTTGAAGACACCGGTGAACTCGGACATCCTGGAGTGCATCCATGTCGGCACACCACTTTTGCGCCTCTGCGCCTAGCTCTGGCGGCAGAGAGTCGTCCCAGTCAGCACCTGCTAGCCACATCTTCTGGAACAACATCCGACCAACTATGGTGAATGGCAGTACGAATCCGATCGGATCAAACAATGTGGCTAGGTTCTTCAAGAACGCTCTCTTGGTGACAATGTCTGATGGCGGCTTGACATGAATCAGGAACTCGTCTTCCTCTGCTCGCCACTTAACTCCGAGAGTCTTGGTCGTCGGCAGGATTCCATTAGCGAGGTCCACTTCCTTGGCTCGGTCCTCCTCGGGGACTTCGGCGAGCACCTCAACATTGTTGGAAATCCATTTTCGCACATGCATTCCAGCGAGACCCCACAGCGCCGTAAGCTCGTGGTACAGCTGAATCGCTAGCTCTGTTGACTTTGTCGAGTCCATTGAATCGTCCATGTACGTGGACTTCAACACGGTTTCTGCTGCCATAGGAAACTCCTCCTGGTTCCGCCGCGCATGCTCTTGCGAGACCAGTTGAGCTAAGAATGGAGATGCATTGATCCCGAACACCACTCTATTGTACTGGTAAACGGCCGGTTGGTCCTCCGTATCTTCTCGCCAAAGAAATCGATGGAACTGTCGGTCATCCTCTTCCAACTCGATTTGTAGATACATCTCTGCCACGTCGGCTACCAGTGCGTTTGGGTGTCGCCGAAACCGCAGGAGAACGTCGGTGAGGTCCCGTTGTAGTTTGGGCCCAGTGCTGATGTAGTCATTCAGACACTTGCCTTTCGTCTTTGCTGCTGCATCAAAGACCACACGCACCTTTGTGGATGTAGCCCCAGGCCGTACAACAGCAAAGTGCGGCAGATACCAGCCGTCGCCATCACTTGCGTTGCTGATCTTGCTGATATACCCTTGTTCTAAGTGACGGCGAATCACGGTTCGGTATTCCTCAGCGATGTCTGGCTCCTTCGCCAGGCGTCTCTCTGCTGCGATGAGCCGCTTCATTGCAGTTTCTCGACTGTAGTTGTCCGGAGGTGGTCTCTTGATCCACGGCTCCGAAACCTGGTATCTTCCGTTCTTGTAGGTCATCGACTGGACCGTCTGATCAAAAACGGCTTGATCATCTGCACAGAATTCGTACGACTGGGAAAGTTCCTCCACCTCCCACATCCTTCTCACCAGTGCATTCAGGTCGACGTCCTTTCCGAAGTACGTGCGGGTGAAATTTGTCGTCTGTTGCGGTCTGGTGGTCCTGCCAACGCATGTCCACCCGAGTGGCGTTCTGCGTGCGAATGGCTCATGAGCCTCACCATAGACTTCCTCCATGCACCTGTGGAGACTAGCGTGGTCAAGGCCGATCAGCGCCTCTACTCGCTTCTTCTGGCATTGCGGAAACTCAATGCCGTTGAGGTGCGGATACCGTGTCTGATCTACCGACCAATCATGAGGTGTAAGGTTACCGGTGACATTCTTGGCCGTCAGAGCAGAGAACTGTGTGATAAATCTGCCATCCAGACTCTCGATGTGGCAGTCGACTGGCATGGTCTCTAGGGTCTCGATGCGGCCGTTCAGCGTGCTCACTGACACTTCTTGTGTGGGAGCGCTAAGCTCTAGCTGTGCCGCAACGTCGCAATTAAGGTAAGACTGCGTGCTGCCGTCGTCCAGCAGCGCGTTGACCGTGACATTCTTGTCGCCGTGGCGAAGTATGACGGGAACGGTTCGCAGTGCGACAGCTCTAACGCCGACACTACTCATATGTGTGGCCATGGAACTGGTGTCACCCCCCTCCCTGGAGGCGCTAGACTGGAGCACTGGCTTCTGTGAGGCTCCATTCGAGTCTGTAGTAGTACTAGACTTTCCGTGCAGCAACGCGTTGTGGGTCTCTGTACAACCATCTGCACCACAGGGCTGCGACCTGGGACAGTTATTTCCCAAATGACCAGAGTTGAGGCAACGGTAGCAAAGCTTGAGCGTCCGGGCCTTCTGCCAACGCTCTGCAATTGACAGCTTCCGATACTCTAGGCATTTCCAAACGGGATGGATCTTCGTGCAGATCGGGCAACTGCTGCTGCTCTGGGCCTTCTTGGGCTTGTCAGCGAAGAATGCCTGATGCTTCACTCCACCATGACTGGCCTGGCCCTTCAGCGGGTGACTCTTTGCTGTTTGAGTGGACCCTACTGGAGTTGCCGTGGAGATACCTTGGATCGTCTCCTGGGCTCGTACTTGGAACTCGCTTTCCAGCTCCACCCATTGCAGAAGCGCTTCGACAGATTCAGAGGTGCTTGTCTGGTGTATCCACTTCTGGTAGCTCAGCAGAAGAGACACCCCCAGCTTCTGTGTTAGCCGGACATAAAATGTCCCGTTAGCCAACTCCTGTGTCTGACCACTCGCCTTCAAATTCACCACAGCGACATCGAGTAGCTCCGCAAAACGCTCCAACTCCTGGGCGTTTGCAGATCTCATCGCTGGGAACTTCTCAAGGGCTTCTAGATGCACTGCAACTAGACGTCGCTGACCACCGAACTTGTGTTCCAGCCTACGTCGTGCTGCCTCATACGCCTCGGCCGAGTAGCCAAGAGTGTCGATAGACCGTAGTGCATCGCCCGCGAGGTATTTCCGGAGCTGCAATAACTTCAGCCCATCCGGAATGTTAGCGCAGCCAATGCACATCTCAAACGCCGCCTTCCACGTCTCATATTGCCGCTTGTCGCCCTTGAACGTTGGAATTGACACTTTCTCTAAATGTCGGTACAATTCGATTCTACCAGAACTACTCGCTTGCACTGGTAGACCACTCGGCGATGTCATGGCAACTGGAAGACTGCTCGGCTGCACAAGACCATAATCTTCACGGTTTGATGCGTGACCTGGCTGACCAACTGGTATTTGTTGCATGACCGGTTGGGTCGCTGGTGGGGTAGACATTATTCCAGACTGATTCGGCAAGACGTGCGTCGGGAAGTCGGGTGCCGACAAGAAACCCGGTGGTGTTCCAAATGAGAATGGATGTCCAGAATGGGTTGGCGGTGGAACGTACAAATTTCCTGATCCCGGCACAAATGCAGGTGTAGAAGCCGAGAGAGTATGACTTGCAACTGCACGAGGCTGCACAGCTGGAGTTGGTTGCATCCCACGAGGAGGCTGCACTGCACGAGTTGGTTGCGTCTGGCCTGACTGTACGAGTATGGTCGTGGCCGACAATGCTCTGGGTGGTACACTGACCCCACTTGAACTACGGTTAGGGGCAGTGATTCCGTTTCTTGCCGAAGCTGCCGACGTAGATACCGGTGCCTGCTGCACGCCAGACTGAGCAATGCCACTTGCCTGGTTACTCCCTGCAGACTGATGACCAATGTTCAGCGGTGTTGCCATGGTTTCGGCGGTTGCCATGGCAACCGGGTGAACTTTTGACAAGAGCTCCGCCGTAAACGGTAACGTAGGTACAGACGACAAAGAGACCGGAAAGGACACCTTGATTGTGCGTGACTTGTCTGTACTCACATTGGTTGCCATGGTTGCACTTGACGACGACACAATTGGCTGGCTGTCACTGAAGCTTGCCATGTCAGCCCCAGGCGGTTCGTCCTGTCTATCACGATGGTCACCACTTGGAGTTCCCAGGGGGAGTGCCGATGCATTTGCTCCCAGAGGTGCTCCCGAGGAAACGGCAGGCGGCTGGGTAGTCCTCTCAACAGTCGCACTCTGGCTGACACTGGATGCAGACACATTCCCAAAACGACTGAGACTCTTCTCAGCACACATGTTCTGTTTTTCCTCAAGGGCCTTGCTAGGAGAGTGTGGCGGTGTCAACATCCTCCCACTTGCTCTGGGATTCTCCAAGCTCTGCGTCAACATTGCCTTTACTAATCTTATGTTCTTGGCTCTGGTGATGGAAGCTGGCGAACTTTCACCCGTTCTGGCTCGACTTGGCCTCTTGCTGATTTCTGCCAGCACGTCGCTGGTCTTGCTGACAGCATCGCTGTAGTCGACGTTGATGACCTCTATCTCCTCGTGCACTTTTTCTGTGGGTAGTCCTAATTCTGCGTACCGCGTTACCAGTTTTAGACACACATCCACAGCGTTGTGAACACTCTCAGTCACGTCATCCAACAACCTCTTGATCTCTTTCGAGGTCGCATCCTCTTCGTAGATCCTGCTGAGCAACAAGTTTCGATTTCGTGTGACATGGAACTTGGCCTTGGCCTTCGCTTTCTTGCACTCCTCAAGATCCATGTTGTCCAGCGAAAACCCGAAATGCTACTCACTACCACACTGCGCTTGGTGAAGGAACCACTACTTGACAACCATCCTCTGCTACCAATTTGTCATGCAGGTTCTCACACGCAACGGGAAAACTTCGTGGTAGTAAAATAGATTTGGCAAACAACAAAAGACAACCCTTTCTCTTCGAAGAACCGAACTTGCCGAGCCTCCATAGACAAAAAACCCTGAAACAGCCCTACACTACACTACAGTCAGTTTCAAAAAGATTAGCAATCCTGGCGATCGCCCAGGGAGTTTGCCGTCTTACCGTATGCGCGCTCGAGAGCTGGCTGGAAAAACTCACTGTGAACTCGAAGAAATAATCCGCGCGAAAGCATGAAAAATGACAACTCACTCACGTCGGTACATATACATGTACATCTGGTTTACAACATAATGTCGAAAGTGTGGTAAATGTTGACGAGCGGGATGGGTCCTAATTCGTTTCGTGCCCAATTTCTTTGAGCTGCGATGCAATTTACTCTCACGATGTGACGAAAACGACATCGACACAGACTCATTCCCAAGGCCATGACTTGGCAAAGCTATCCGTGTGACTTCGACGACATTTTGAGAAAAGCAGACGCCTGTGAAAGCTGATAGAAGACGGCGTTGACTCCTAAATTCAAATAAATTGGCGATCTTGAAATACTAAAATAATTCTCAAAGAGAAATCGATCGATCGATGTGCCGTTGTATTGAACTACACGTAGCTACAGCGCAATGACTTCCGTGTTCACTCACACCGTTTCAGTGTTGTGGGTGTGTTCACATGACGTGAACCAGTCAAGTGTTCCGCAGGAAACGCGAGCTCCAACAACAACAAGTCATTCGGCGCAGCAACCTTCTTTGGCTTGTACTTTTTGTACCAGCGTGATCTGGTGATCACCAAAACAATGAAAAAAAGTTTGACTTGAAGATAGTTTGGGATTTGAACTCACAACTTTATGGTCAGCAGACAGCATTCATAACCACAAGGCCAAAAAGGAAAGGATAAATCGTGGGTTTTGATAAAAAAAATCGATACTCACATCCAGGGCAAATTGTAAACCATGGGAAAAGGCCGGAAACCTGGCCGAAATTATAACTCCTCAACGGCTGGTCCAATTGTTCCGAAACCTTCACAGAACAATTTGCCGTGTCCTAACAAGCCATTCTATGTTATTTGTTGTCCAAATTTCCCTTATCTTCATACTTTTTAAGACCAAAACCTGATTGCTAATCTTTTTGAAATGGACTATAGTACGGGAATTCGGCGCAGAGCAAAAAATAATCATGAGTCATTATACAATGCATGCAGTGTAGCCGTGAAAACTGGTGAATAAAGAATGCAGTAGGTTGGCAGCACGTGACCCGTCGTACCGCAGTACGCGACGGCGTCGAGGCTTAGAAAATGAAAGGAAACACTGCGAGAAAAGACAAAACGAAAATACATGTCCCTTTGTCAAAACTTAGAAGAAACAAACAAAATGCGACCAAGAATCATTTTGAGAGTCAACGTCAATACTCTTGTGCAGTTGTGCAAATTCTTGTCTTGCACTGTGCAACGCAAGAAACAAACACACCTACGAAATAACTCGTGAACTAACTGTAGGCTAAATCACTACATGTACGCGAAATTGCGTTCCAAAATAAACTGAATTTCTGAGACATTTCATATTTCACATCCTGAGAGAAATATTGAATAGTAAATACTTCATAAAAAACACATGGCCACGACGGCCTTCCCAACACCATCAATTTTTGTTCAGACTTTTCCCGTTTTTGTTTTTCCTTCAAATCAGTGAATTGTGCGTTTCCTTTTTCTTCAGTTGTTGTGTCAGGCCGGTGTTACCATGTTCTGTGATTGCCCGTACGAGGGGATTTGGCCTTTTTTTGACATTTGGCATTTTTTAACAAATTTGTAAAATTTGCTTTTCTTCTGGCTGTCTATCTGCTCCGGATCGCTGTATCGAAACATGGGTGGTGGCAAATCAGAGCCAGTTTATCGTAGATCAACATTGACCAGAAAATTTGGTGCATATAATTCAATTCTCCCTGCCACGTCGGTATAACTAGTGGTGGGTGCTTTGCCATTTTGTGTAAAATGTGTAAAATGAGACCCTGAATGGACGAGGAGAGCAGTGAATTGCTTCCGCAGGGCCTTTGGATGACGTCAGGCCATCTTTCCATCACTAAAGACACTAATGAAGAACAGTAGGTCACGCAATACACTCTGTGAGAATGACAACATGGCTGCGATGCTATGCTACCTATCCAAATCACCTTATAACACAGCCACTAGTTACAAATACTTCCTCAGTATACAAACAAATCGTGACTTTTTTTAAAAGCTGCGCACAGCTCTGGAATTGTTCCGATAGACTCGGAATAACACTTGTGGCATTGTCTAACCTGTTTACAAGCTACATGTATATACAAAGAAAAAAGCAACTCAGACGAATGAGATTGTTTTTTTTCAGAGTCTTCGTCGCTCATGTCATTGTCACCTGACGACGCCGACTACGCATCGCCAACAGTCGCTGCTTGCGCTCGCATTTCGTTCAGATTCTTGTCACCTGCAGTGATGATCCGACCCTGGACTTTCGCTAGGTCCTCTTCATCTCTAGAGCTGTGTACGAATCGGTGTCGACTATATTTAGTTGTTCCAACCCGCGGCCTTCATTATGCCGTGAAACGAGTCATACAAGCACATCCACACGCTTCGCATTTTCTAGCCAGGATAATCCTCCCAAGCATTCTACAATGGCTTCGAGGAGGTCCCTGCGATTCCCCTTGGCGACAATGGAGACGTCTAACTGGAGAGAGGCGAAGAAAGCCAGGCAATCGACATTTTGATTCTGAGTCTGCGCTGGTTGTACGACGACTGAAATGTTTCATCTTGCCGTGCGAGCGAAACAAATCGATGTTCTCACGCCGCGTAGATCTATGGGGCCGCGCACCGCAAGGACGAGCCTGGCCAGTTTCAAGGTAGCGAGTGCCACGTGACTCCGTGTTCCAGCTAAGAGGTACACTTCGTCACTGAGTCAGTTTCGAGAAAGTGTTAGTTTTTTCATTATGACTCTTGAGTTTCTGTCGGCAACGTCTTCACACGCAGGGCGTCCGTAGTGAATCTGGTCGGGATCAACCAAACAAACCTCGACATGGACTTGGGTTGTCGATGACAGCCTTTGGCGCCGTTCGTTGAGCAGGTTCTTGCTCAAAAACACTGTCCAAAAAAAGTCACGAAGTTTTTGTATACGGAGGAAATACAAAAACACGGCTTTCGTAGCATACAATGTAGTTCACTCCTCTGTTGACAGATTAATGTTCATCCACTAGCAATCCTTGAAGTGATACATATCAACCTCAGAACATTGATGACCGAATATCGCAGTTTGTGATGCCATTTTTCAAATTTGTTAAAAAATGACACACCAATTATTTGAATCCTGAGAATACTGTGACAGTAGGACATGATTCAAGACACTTTCCAAGGTGGGATCATTCCCATTTGTGGACACAACGGGCATGAAGGATAGTACTTCCACTTGAAACTATTCATTTGGACGTAGCTTGTCTAGAAGTGACTGAAAAAACGTCATTTTACAACCTTGTTAAAAAAGCCAAATCACCTGGTATAGGAGACTTTTCTCGAGGGGTTCGCGTACCGGGCAGGTCAAAAACAAGGAGTCGTACAACTCCCTGGTCAAGAACCACCCTTCCGCTTCCGTGGTACGCCACCACCCCGTGATCAGGCGTCAGATGCGGCTCCTAAAAGATGGGGGAGCATAGATCAGATCCACCAACCATAGGCCAAAGACCTAAATCCCATTTGACACATCCATGCTTTACTCATGCCAGGCCACGAGCAATATATAAGAGAATTATCCACACGACAAAAATGATAGTGGCGGATCTCGGGAGTGCTCAACAAATGTTTAACTCACTATGAGCTAGGAGACCGAAGTGGCATCTGATGGTTTTGCCTCTTTCCCACACTCAAGTAAGTCGAGCGCGTAGGTGAAGATTACCAGACTGTAGCGCTAAGAGCTGACTTAGCAATTATTTTGTTCCTTGTTTCAAGACATTTCAAGAAAGCTGAGGATCGTGTAATTCGTCATAGGGACGGCAAAGTTACCGATCATTGAGCAGGTAGTGCTTGCATCAGAAAAAATAGCCTTTTATAGGTGTTGGTGTGGGGCAACATCCAGGCATCATGGAGCTGAATGGCTTATTATCCTGTGCCTAAGCAGCATAACGTACCCTACAAGAACGGGGCCACCTTTAGTACATTCATTTCTGTACTTATCAAGTTTAGGAGGTCGGCCAAGCAGATGATTTGCGATGAGATTGGTCAACGGCGGTCAAAGTCATTCCAGTTAATTTAATTAAAAACCCATTCAGCGCTACTGGGCCTTGCCTATGGTACTCTGCATATAAAATGCTAAAATAAGGCAAATAGAAAGTTCTAAAACTCCAGGGTTCTGGCAACTGGGTCCTCAAATATTTTGGAAATGATTGCCAAGACTATCAACCACAGGGTGACAGAATCGATACAGTCCCCGAAAAGAATAGCGCTTCACAATAGGGGACGCAAGTTTGCTCAAATTGCGTGAAATACGCTAAATGTGTGCAATTGCAGCTGAAAGATCGCTGAAAAGAGAAGAAAAAAAGACGCATAGTGTTACCAAGCGGGATTCGTACCGACGACCTATCGTACAAGAGGCAGGATCATGATCCAACTGACTAACAGTGCTTTTACACACCTGATATTGACGGAAATCACTATATATCCCATGACGTCTATAGACATCATCCCGCGCATGGGGGGCATTTTCAATGACGTCTATAGATGTCATCAGCGTTCAATGGGCACCTGCATGTCTAGGGTCCATGAATGGTTTCTGTTTCCGAATGTCCCACTTCCAAGGTATTACTTTTGTAGCTCGTAACTTCAGCACCGTCTCACCATAATGTCTATTCTCTTC